TAACTTCGCCTCCAAACCCTCAGTTTGCCCATCTGGGAAACAGGCATGACTCTGCCCTTCCTCTGTGGGTTGTAGCGAGGCTGCAGTGACAGGATGAGTATGAGGGTCTCAACCCAGAACTTCACAGTGTGGGTTTGGCAGAGAATAAGCCTGCCATCCATAGAAGCAATCATTATTGCTGCTGCCCTGACTAGTAACTGTTGTGAATACTAATATCATTGAGAAGTTTTACATTATAATCTTCCACAAACAAGCTGTTCTTGGAAGCTGTGATCCAAATTAGAATGAGAGGAGTGAAAAAGAAAAAGTGCACTTCCTGCTAGCTGTGGCTAAGGGCGGGCACTTTCCCACAATGCCTTTCCCCTTAAGCATTGTGAGCACCACTAAATACTTTCCATCCAGTCAGTCACCCATTCGTTTAGCACATATTTGCTTCTAACAGCTTTACTGAGATAGAACTCATCTGCCATTTAAAATAGGCTCGGCAACCGTTGCTCATATAGTCACAGGTGTGCAACCATCGCGGGAGCCTGAGCCAGCAGGCAGCTCGTGCTCTGTAACTGTCACCTCAGAGCCACTGCACACCTGCGGTGGGACAAGCACCACTGAAGGCACAGCAGAGATACTTGAGTGAAAGACAATAAAACCACAATGACAGTGGAAAAACAAAGATAACCGCCGTGAAGCTTGTCGTTTATGGGCAAGACAGACAAGTAAATCTAAACACTGCCATCAGGAGATCCTTCTCAGGGCAGGGGTGAAGTGTGCTACTGTGGAAAAGGGAAACCAGAGTGGAGGAGGGGGCGTCCACAGCCTGGGGAAGAGACTGGTTTCAGTCACCCAGAGGGAGGTGAGAGAAGACGTATAAAATGAAGAGCGCTGCCTTGTGGGAACTGGCTTTCCACCTTCTCTTCTCTAGGCCTCAGTGTCCCCACCTGTCACAGGGGCTGGCCACCCCTCACAGGTCCACCCGGTCTCGGCGTTGCTCCTGTGTGGAAAATGGGGCCCCTGCGCCAGAACCCCTAGGGGAAAGTGGAATGAGTCCTGAGTCCCCGCCGAGCCAAGGGGGCTGGCGCACAGGGACAGGTGCCGGGCCTGACACTGTGCTGTCTCGAGGCAGGCATTTCTTCTCATGAAATGCCCAACTGTGAGAAGCAGGAGTCAGCATTTCCCATCTCCATTTCCTGTTACCAGAATACTGCCCCTGTGGGCTTCCTCTCCGCTCCAATTTCCATGCAGGGCTGTGGTCCCTTGATTTGAACATGGGAGCTGCCACAAGCAGCCCTGGCTTCCTCGACATCACCTTCAGACTAAGGTACTTGTTCTGCAGCCTTCTGCACTGAAGTTAGTTACACCAGTCCCAGTGGATGACTCAGCCACCCACCCCCGCTAGAGATTGTTCCGAAAACG